AAAATTTTGGATTCTCTTGCCTTAGCTTTCCAGAATGCTGGGTTTACATGCATGTGCAGCTATACCCAACTTTTCATCTCTTTTCTTTGTCTTTATTTTTTTGAGACAGGGTCTCACTATGTAATTCCAGTTGGCCTTGAATTTACTCTATAGCCCAGGCTGGCCTTGAACTCTTAGTGATCCTCCTGCTTCAGCTTCTCAGATGCTGAGATTACAGGCGTGCCCCACCATGCCTGGCACTCAGCTCTGCCTTTGATACTCCCATGAGTTCTTTTTTCATAAATAATAATGTTTTAAATGTCAATGTAATACATGTAAATATTAATAAATAAAATATTAAAAGCACTCTTTTTAGTTCTATGAAAAAATCCAATAACAAAATAATCAGAAAATAACAGAAGTGCACATACTACGTACAAGCTTAAAAGCATGGCCCAAATGACTTCTTAGGGAATAGAGTTCTGTTATAGAGACAAATGTGTCATCTGCACTAGCCTCCTTCACTAGAATGTTCTAGTGAGGGCTGACTCTCCTCAGGACTGATTTAGAAGCCCCTTGAGCTTAGAATAAGGAGGGTAGCCTTACATACATATCAGAGGTTCTTTGGTTTGGTCCAGTGTGACGACCTGACTCTTCCTAATTAAAAATCCTTCACAGAGCTAACCAAATGGACTCTAATAGGCATATACAGTCTACAGATGTTTACTTGGTACGCACCAAGTTTTAAAAATTCTGGTAGAGGGTGTTCCTTTTAGGAGGAGTTATGCTGCCCAACACACACACACACACACACACACACATACTATGCTGTCCAACACACACACATACACACATGCACACACACACACACACACTGAAGGCCTAACACTGCACTGAATATATATATATATATATATATATATATATATATATATGCCCTAAAACTAGCACATCAATATGTGACCTTATTTGGAAATTGGATCAGTGCATACATAAGGAACATGAAGTCATATTGAAATGGGGGCCCCCTAATCTAACACAACTAGCATGCTTAAGGAAAGATCTTCGGACACAGGGGGTGACACATGTGCATGGAGAATGCTATCTAAAGATAAGGATTAAGAGTTGCAAGCCAAGAAATGGCAAAGACAGTCAGCAACCCACGAAAAGCTGGAAGAGAGGCCTGGGGCACCCCTCACCACCTCCTGTTGACATCCTGATCTCAGAATTGAAGCTTTCAGGACTGTAAAGCATTAACTTTTTGTTGTTTAAGCCACCCACTGTGTGGTATTGTGTGTCAGCCCTGGAAACAAATACAATGAGCATCACTGAAAAGTGGGTAGATTCGCCACGTGAACCTGGACTTGGGGCTTTGTGGGGAGAAGCCTGCAGTGCTGGACTGGATGATGGGGCAGCAGCTGGAGTACAAGCTGTTCACTGAGGGGGCCCACAGAGCACAGGCTCATTCCACCTGCTATTGAAGGCCCTATGAGAACAGGGACCCGGCGCTACTAGATTTCCCAGCTTTCACAGGGAAGCTTGATTGCCTTGTTGCTGGAGAAATATGACTTCAAGTGCTGGTGGCTAATTTACCAGCCTTTCTCTGCTCCCTCACCCAATCCAGCTCATGTACACACTTCATCTGGCTGGCTCCCCCCAGCATCTGCATTTGTGATCTCTGTTTATTCACAGTTCATGGCTTTGCAAGAAGATAAGAAAAATTATATTTAAACAAGGGAGATTATTCAGGGGATTGAACAATTTACCACCAAGAAAAAGGGAGACTGCCCATCTTTGCTTTGCAATGTTGGGGTAACAACCTTCCTGAGACAGTATTCATGCTTTGCAAAACCCAGGCACTGTTTCATAAAACTAAAGGTATTAAGTAGTAATTTTTCTGGGCATGTAAACAGAAATAATAGTCTGTCCAAGATACATTGCAGAGTACCTCTCTGTGATTGTTTAAATAAATTCACACAAAATTGCCTATAATAATAGCTACCTCTTACATAAAACAGACCAGAGGGCAAGCATGGGTCTAGGTTCATGCATGGAGTTACTTTATCTCATTATAATCATGTTAGGCAATTACAAGATGCCAGATACACTTTAGAGACAGTCTCATTTAATAGTCATATGAACCCCATTAGGGACATAGTCGGCTCTGTCTCCAGGGCTCCATATCGGTCAATTCAGTTGACAAATAAAATAACATTCAAAAAAGAATTACCTCAGTACAGAATATATACAGATCTTTTTTGATATGTTTCCCTAATACATATAGAATAACTATTTACATGGAGTTTACATCACATTAGGTATTATATCTAGAAATGATTTAAAGTACAGAGAAAGATCATGTAAGATATACGCAAATATTACTTGCATTTTATATAAAGAATCTGAGCGCCTTCAGATTGGAGTCCCCGAGTCTCTGTCCTGTCTACAGTGTTGATCAGCCTACACACCCCAATCATGATGCACAAATTGCAGCTAGTTTGAATTCACAGTCTCAGTTTCACTCAAAAGATATGCAACGACATTTTGTATAAGTGGCCGGAGTGTCCAGAGGCACTTTCCATGCCCTTTTCATAATAGATGGCATAGAGCCATCTACATCTACAGTCTTATAATTCAACCAAGTCTTGGGAAGAGGTCGCTTCTAGGGCAATGTTCTGTTCCTTCCCAGGGCTGTGTTCATCCTGTGAAAATTCAAGCACCTTGCAGATGACACGTCTCCCTGTCTATGAGTATACTCTGCTCCAATCAAAGTAGAGAAAGAAAAGGCATGATCCTCATCTACCTGGCCCATGAAGCCCATGCCTGTCTCCCATTTATTCACACGTGGTGGTTCTTTTCAGCTGTAACCCACCCCCTTCTTCTCCTCCACTCCCATGCACGATGTTGAAAGGAGTCCCGGAATTGGGCTGTTGCTTCTGCAACCACCCAGCCTGACTGCCCTGTGTTCTCTCTGCCTTTCCCAGGGCACTACATGTATGTGGACTCAGTTTATGTCAAGCACTTCCAGGAGGTGGCACAGCTCATCTCCCCGATGACCACGACCTCCATGTCTGGCTGCCTGTCCTTCTATTACCAGCTCCAGCAAGGCAATGGCAATGTCTTCTCCCTCTACACTCGGGACACGGTGGGCGTCTATGAGGAGCTATGGAAGGTGGACAGTCCAGGGAATGCTGCCTGGAACCTTGCGGAGGTCGAGTTCAGTGCCCCTTACCCCATGGAGGTAGGTGTGCCAGGGGGCCAGGGGTGCCTGGCCTGGACACGTGGTAGGGATACCACCACACAAAGACGGGAGTCACATACTCAATAACCTTTTTCTCCTGCTGTACTTCAATGGTTTTATTTTTAAATGGGCACACATTGAATTTGTTTTCTAAGTTTCATTTTACTTTTAATAAGGGCATAGTGTGGTGTTTTGAAACATGTACACAATGGGCAATGATCAAATCAGAGTAGTTAACATGGCATCAACTCATTTATCATTTCTTCGAACACACAAAATCCTCTCTAAGTACTTTGTAATATGTAGTATGTTATTATTAGCTGTACTCAGCTGATGGTGTATTAGACACCAGAATTTTTCCTTCCCTCTAGCCAGAACTTTGTACCCAATGACCATTGTCTCCTTTTTGCCCTTGCGCTTCTGCTTGTACCTCTACTTCAATCTTGCTTTCCCTTTCTCCCCCTTGTGTTCCCATCTGAATTCTTCTTTTGTCACGTCCATGTTCTAGCGAGAATATTTTTAATAAAGATAAATATGAAAAAGTCAGTCAACACACTAGATCCCCTGGGTACATGCTCTCTCTGAACTTTGTACTGTGACCGTAGAGAGTTCAAAAGATAGAGGGGGCCTGGGGAGATGGCGCAGTGGAATAAGCGCTTCCCTGGCAAGTGCAAGGGCCTGAGTTCAATCCCCGGTTCCGGAAAAAAAAAAAAAAAAAAGATAGAGGGGTCAGACTCCTCTGGGCAGCTTATTTCTGGACTTCTGTTCTTGAAAGCCACTTTGAGATCTTCTCTTAATTGAGGAATCTGTTTTGCCAGAGAAAAAAAGTGGCTTGTTTCTTTGCAGCATAATGTCTCAAAACCAGAAATACACTTATTATTCAAGCCCTAATTTGATACAAGCTTGGTGCCTTTATTTTGAAGGTATTCTTATAGTTATATAAACAATAAATGTTGCAAAGAATTCAAAAACTCAGAGAAGCAGGGCTGGGGAGATAGCTTGGTGGCCTACCTACCTGCCTGGCAAGTGTGAGGACTGGGTTCAATCCCTGGTACTGCATGCTATGTCATCCCTGCACCATAACTGCCACCGAAACCAGGCATGGTGGTGCATGCCCGTAATCCCAACACTGGGGAGGCTGAGACAGGAGGATTGCTACAAGTCCAAGCTGCATAGTGAGACCCTGTACCAAGTACATTAATAAAAGATAGAAGAAGAAGAAGAAGAAGAAGAAGAAGAAGAAGAAGAAGAAGAAGAAGAAGAAGAAGAAGAAGAAGAAGAAGAAGACTCAGTAAGCAAAGTAAGTTAAAACCCCTGACATGCGTCCACAAAGATGAGGACCACAAGCATGGTGGTGCTCATCTGTGCAGACCTTTTTCGAGCACATACATTAATATGCACCTCCATCTCTCTATGTATTTCAGAATTTCAAGGCACTTTCAACTCTCACTAACAAAGTAGATAAAATTATTTCCATATTTGCAGATGAGAAAGGAGAAAACAGCGTCCAAGAAGTCTAACATCTTTTTTCTAGGTCACACAGCTGGCGAATGCCACGGAGCTTAGGCAACATCTGAGACTGAGATCTGACCTACAGCTGAAAGAGGAGGCCTTGTCTAAGGACCCCAAGGACCTTGAGGATCCTGGGGGTAGCCTTGTGGGTGCTCTATGTGTGAAATTGCTGGAAGGACTTGGCACTATATGTAGGGTCTTCGTTACAAGTTATTAACACCCCAAATCGTTCAATTTGTGCTTTTTGCAGTCTCTCGCCCAGTCCCCTTTAAAGTACAGAAGTGCTTGTTCCTCTGGCTGCTTTTCAGGGGTGCCATCTGCTAGCCTGCTGTAGAGCTGCAGAGAACGCTGGGCTGGGTCCTGACTTCTGATGTGTTCCATCTACCCATGGCGTGCCTGCTTTTTCCCCACCTTCTTCCTACCTCCCCTTACTGCCACCCCAAATGGCCCAAGAGAGAGCACAGTGACTTTTGCAGAATGTGTGCTATTTCCTATCCTCAAGTCTTCCTAGGCCTCAGTTTTTGCTCTTGCAGCCCAGTGGAAAATTTTCTCTAAGTTTGAATTACAAGAGGGAAAAAAAATGAAATGCATGTTACTCCCTCAGAATATTTTCCTTCTATGAATATGTTATGAAACGAGTTACACACACATGCACACATATATAGATATGTTGTTTCCACCCACTCTTCTCGTGCAGCCATATAAAATGTTTATACTGTCTGTGAGTGCAATACTCCTGAGGCTGAGGCTGAATGCTCACAATTTTAAGCCCAAATTGGGCGATTTAGCAACTTAGTGAGACCATTTCTCAAATTTTGTTTTTTAAAGTTCTGAAAGAATGTAGCTCAGTGCAAAGGTCTTGGGCTTAATCCCCAGCACAACAACCACTGCAATAACAGTAAATCAATAGCGCTGGGCATTACTAAACCTCAACAGACTTCTTTGGCCCACGCATATGTGATTTTATTCCGGTGGTCTGAACCTATTGCTAATATTTGCTCTTGTAATTGCCAAGAGTGGGGACTTGTCCAGAGGAAGTGGGTCAGTTTACTATCACCATGTTCTCAGATGAGTTTTAAACAGGAAAATGAGCATTGGAGACTGTCTTTCTGAATGAGAGACAATGCATTGGCATTGTATTGGCATATTCTTATCAGAAATGCCATTCTTAATCTACCTGCTCCGGATGAGCCAAGTTCTCTCATCCACTTCCTTTACCAGCCAGAGCCTTGAGAGCTCAATGTCATGGATCTATGGCAAGTCTGGAAAAGTAATTGGCCCCTTCTCTGTCCATATTGGTTCCTTCATTCTTAGCCCTTGCTTCCCTCACATTTGGAAGCATCTGGGTCCAGGAGAAACATTGTGATTCAGCTAAAAGAGACCCTAAGAACCTTCTAGTCCAATCTTTTTTCAAAAATGAAGCTGAGGCTTGGAAGAGTGACTAGGCCTGCATGAGCTAATTAGTGACACTGGGCATTCCTAAACCTCAACAGACTTGAAGGAAAAAATGAGTTGATGAAGACAACATATTTGTATACATATATATGTGTGTGTGTTTGTATAACTCTTTTCATAACATATTAATAGAAGGAAAATATTCTGAAGGGGTAAATTTGAACAAGAGTCCAAGAGAGAGCCTGAAGAAAAAGATGAAATTAGTTCAGCACTTATTATGTACCTGACTCTGTGCTAGGATATTCTAACACCACTTTTTTTTCTAAATAAATGTATTTGGTTCAAGGTCTCACTACACAGCTCAGACTCATAGTGATCATCCTGTTTTCTTCCTCCCCAGCACTGGGATTGTAGGCATGCACCACCACACCCAGTCTCAGTGGCTGGGTCAGTGTGCCCAGGGGTGGGGCCGGTGCAGCATGTGATGCCGGGGATCAAACCTCCCCGTTCTTACACTTGGCTAAGCAAGCACTTAGTCCATTGAGCTGTCTTGCTGGCCCTTGGGATCTTTATATACATTATCTCATTTAATTTCCTGAACAGCACCATAAAGTAGGTGTTATTATCCCTATTTTAATAAATAAGAACAACAAGACTTCAAGAGATTTACTAGTGGATCCAAGGTTGCCTAGCTAGGAGGTAATGACCATGGGATTTGGGCTCTGGTCTGTCTGCCTCTAAGACACTGTTGCCTTCAGAAGAGGCTGCAAGGGCTGGCCAGATAGCTCAGTGGATTAAAGCTCCTGCTTAGGCAGACGCAGGGGTCAGCGGTTCAGTTCCCCTGCCTGCTGTGGCAGCTCTGCCCCCAGGGAACGCTGAGATGATGACTGAAACTGAGTGTGGTGGCACGTGCCTGTAATCCCAGAAGAGGCTGCAAAGCATAAGCCCACAGATCAAATCTTGTGCATGGTTGTTTGTCTGGTACCTGTGAGGGTTTTTCATTTGTGATTTGCTTGTTTTAATTTTTACTTACCAGAATTGAAAAATCCAAACATTACCAGTAAAATCAGAGATAAAGACCTTCTTGATAACTTGTTAGGTGCAAACACATTAGGTCTTCTGCTTGTTTGCTAGAGCTACCATAACAAAGTAGCATGGGATGGGTGGCTTAACAAAATAGAAATTTAGTGTCTCACGGTTCTGCTGGCCAGAAGTCCTAGATCAAGTTAAGAATTTGTCCCTTCTACCACTGTGAGAAAGAATATGTTCCCTATCTGTCTCCTACTGACAGTTCACAGGCAATCTTTGGTACTGACGAACTTAAAGGACTCTCTTTGTCTTCACATGCCTCTCTCTTTGTGCATCTACCTCTCCACCTAGTTTTCCCCTTTTTGTTAGAATGTCAGTCATTTAGATTAGAGGCCCACCCTTCCCCACATGGCCTCACTGTAACAAATTTCACTAGCAACCACTTTATTCCCAAGTGAAATAACATATCGAGGTGCTGAGGGGAGGGGTTCCAGTATGAATTTGAGGAAACACAATTCAGCCTGTAGCCCTCCTGACTTCCCAGACATCAGCCACTGATGAAGCTGAGTAGCTGCTGCCCCCTGTGGATAGACTATTTTCTCCATTGCTCAGAAGTGCTCAAAAGGGAATGACCACTTCACACACTCACTTTCCCACCTGGCCCTTGCACACACTGCTCCACACAGTGTGGACTGCACACCAGGGAGGCTTTCTCTACATGGGCAAAGGCTGTGCTGACCACACCTGATCCTCCCCTCATCATCTCGGGCAGAAAGAGCACTGAGTTCACACTCAGTCCTTGGCACATAAGGCAGCAAAATGAAAGGGTTGAACTCACTAGTCCATGTTCTATCTATCTGTTAAGACATGCCTGGACATGCCAATCTCAGGGCCCTCGTCTCCAATCACTGCATCTTTGCCACCAGTAGAGCTCTGTGTGGGAAGACGGAACAGGAACTCAGATGGCTTACCTTCCTGTGACAGCAAGGGAGAAACTGCCCTACTTACTCCACTTATCCTGGCTTTCCTTTAATCTGACTTCAAAATGTGGATGAATTCTGGAGTTATAGCAAAAACAACATGGGCATTGCAGCTGACCCTCAAGGAAAAAGAAAATACCTGTCACAAAAAAGTAAATTTAGGAAGTATTCATTTAGAGAGGTTGCAATAACAAAATGGCATAGACTGTGTAGCTTATAAACAGCAGAAAAGTACTTATAAATCCAGAACTTGGACGTCTAAGATGAGATGGCAGATCTGGTATCTGATTTTGGTGCCTTCTCACTGTATCCTTAAATGACAAAAAGGACAAGCAAGCTCCCCTGCTAGGACACCAGTCCTAAGTGTGAGGGCTCTGCCGTTAGCACCTAATCACCTCCCCGGAGGGCTGCTTCCTAACACCATTACTCTGAGAATTACATCTCCACATTGCAGGGAACAAAAGCACTCAGATGATAGCAGTTTCATTCTCCTAAAAGAAATCATGAATTGGATAGAGTGTTTCTCAGACACTTATATTTGGAGACATAATTGCATATCCTGTGACTCTGGTTCTCCTGGTTTGATTGGCATGTCACTTTAAACTACATTTCAGAACACATAAACCTAACAGAACTATGTAACTATGTGGCAACATGTTGTTTTCCTCTAGGTTATTTTTGAAGTCGCCTTCAATGGTCCCAAAGGAGGATATGTGGCCCTGGATGACATTTCTTTCTCTCCTGTTCACTGCCAAAATCAGACAGGTACGCATTCTCTTCTTTTCTTCTTCCCATTTAGAACTTTTCTTTCTTGATAGCTACTTGGTCTCAGGACTTGCTTTAAATTGTCTTTTGAGGAGAAGGACAGCAGAGGGAGTGGGGGAAGAGAGAGATCTATGTATAGAAGCAGGATGGTTTGGACAACTGTACTGTGCCTTTCTGCTGCTCTGTGGAAAGGAATAGTTAACGCTTAATCTGTTTTGTCTCCTCTTTTCAGTTATTTGTCCTTTTTCTCTTCTTACTTTTTTATATATTCCGTTCTCTTTTTCTTTCTTCTAATTTTGTACACATATATCTGGTAATATGAATAATTGGTTGGAAGACAGCACTATACATTACAACTAATACTGTGAAATTCATCTAATTTTGTTAAGTGAAATTCTGTATCACTTGTGATTTTTCTGTTTTAGTGCTATTTTGTACTCTCTTAAAAAATAAAACAAATTTAAAAGTTAAAAAAATAATAAATAAATAATCTTTTATTTAATCACCTTTTCTCATATCTCATCCTTTAAAAAAAATGAATGATCTGAATTGTTGTTTCTCGGGAATATTACCCACTTTTGCTCCACACAGAGTGAGTCTAATTTTTCTGAGCCCATGTGTTTCATTTTCTCTACCTACTTGTAAAAAAAAAAGAAAGAAAGAAGAAAGAAAAATTAAATATATTCATTTACTCTAACTCATCTTTTTTAAAATAAAAGATATCTTGATAGGTGGCAGGACAAATGTAAAAAATACTTACAATGTACTGAACAGAATTATAATAACTCTTTCCAACTTTATCCAAGCTTTATATATGTCTTTATGTTTAAATACATTAGTATTTAGTAGACATCTCTAGGATGGTTTTGACTAAGTATTATGTACCCTTAATTTACTTACTTTTTTCAAAGTGAACTCCCAGAGACTGGGCCTGGTGGTGCACACCTATAATCCCAGCTCTTGGGAGGCTGTAAACAGGCGGATCACTACAAGTCCGATCTAGTAGTGAGACCCTGAACACGCTGTAGTCCCTTTCCCTAAAAAATACAAAAAAAAAAAAAAAAAAAGTGAACTGCCAAATAATTTTATCCTGATATTTTTACTTTCCGGTTAGATAGATAAATTGATTCAAAGTCAACTCAGAAACAGATCTTTCAGAGAAAGTGTTATGGGTCACTCAGAATAGGAACCAGATCAGCCAGGTTGGAATTTGGAAAGCCGTTTATTACTGAGCTCAGGGCCCCCCAGTCTGCTCCCACGCAGGAGAGGACTGAAAGGCGGCAGCCCAGGAAGCAGGAAGG